ATAATAATTGTAATAAGCATCTTACATACAACAATTGTACAACAAATAAGAAATACAAAAAAATATACAAGCAGTTTCAATTACAAAGTTGTAAAAGTACATTCGAAATGTTATTATTGTTGACTCTGGAAAGCAGTACAGTTAAAATTTGTTAAGGATCTTACTAAGGAAATACTGAACAAGAACTAAACTAGAACTGACTAACTAGAACTGAACTAGACTGAACTAGAACTGAACTAGAACTGAACTAGAACTGAACTAGAACTGAACTAGAACTGAACTAGAACTGAACTAGAACTGAACTAGAAGGAACTAGAACTGAACTAGAACTGAACTAGAACTGAACTAGAACTGAACTAGAACTGAACTAGAACTGAACTAGACTTGAACTAGAACTGAACTAGAACTGAACTAGAACTTGAACTAGAACTGAACTAGAACTGAACTAGAACTGAACTAGAACTGAACTAGAACTGAACTAGAAACTGAACTAGAACTAACTAGAACTGAACTAGAACTGAACTAGAACTGAACTAGAACTGGAACTAGAACTGAACTAGAACTGAAACTAGAACTGAACTAGAACTGAACTAGAACTGAACTAGAACTGAACTAGAACTGAACTAGAACTGAACTAGAACTGACTAGAACTGACTAGAACTGAACTAGAATGAACTGAACTGAACTAGAACTGAACTAGAACTGAACTAGAACTGAACTAGAACTGAACTAGAACTGAACTAGAACTGATCTAGAACTGAACTAGAACTGAACTAGAACTGAACTAGAACTGAACTAGAACTGAACTAGAACTGAACTAGAACTGAACTAGAACTGAACTAGAACTGAACTAGAACTGAACTAGAACTGAACTAGAACTGAACTAGAACTGAACTAGAACTGAACTAGAACTGAACTAGAACTGAACTAGAACTGAACTAGAACTGAACTAGAACTGAACTAGAACTGAACTAGAACTGAACTAGAACTGAACTAGAACTGAACTAGAACTGAACTAGAACTGAACTAGAACTGAACTAGAACTGAACTAGAACTGAACTAGAACTGAACTAGAACTGAACTAGAACTGAACTAGAACTGAACTAGAACTGAACTAGAACTGAACTAGAACTGAACTAGAACTGAACTAGAACTGAACTAGAACTGAACTAGAACTGAACTAGAACTGAACTAGAACTGAACTAGAACTGAACTAGAACTGAACTAGAACTGAACTAGAACTGAACTAGAACTGAACTAGAACTGAACTAGAACTGAACTAGAACTGAACTAGAACTGAACTAGAACTGAACTAGAACTGAACTAGAACTGAACTAGAACTGAACTAGAACTGAACTAGAACTGAACTAGAACCGAACTAGAACTGAACTTGAACTGAACTAGAACTGAACTAGAACTGAACTAGAACTGAACTAGAACTGAACTAAAACTGAACTAAAACTGAACTAAAACTGAACTAGAACTGAACTGGAACTGAACTAGAACTGAACTAGAACTGAACTAGAACTGAAGTAGAACTCAACTATTATTGCCAGGAGCAGGACATCATATGGTCGGATATTAGTTGTTTTTATTTCAATTTACAAATATGTCTCTTACAAATGATCAAATTAAATATACCTCTTTATCTTTCGGCAACAATTTAAGTTAAACATTACAATATTTTCTTGATAAATACAAAATATTACACAACAACACAACCGGAAGTATGTTGTAAAATAATGTATGTCTCATATGCCAGCTGCAAATATATTAAACAATTGCGACAGTATGTGTGTTGAAAAGTTTTGTTAAAATGTTCCCTGTTTTATGTCTGTCTATGTCTTGTTTAAGTACTTTTCATATATAGTTTCCACTTTTTTACATTTATTCATTTAAATTTATGTTCATTTTCATGTCTTTGTTGTTTTTCTTTTCTTGGAGGACTATAAAATGTTGTGTGTGTGTGTACGGTGTCTCCGGCCATGTAATTTTTAGCACTTGTGTCATATTCAATTCAAAAGATGTAAAAACATTTTGTCTTGTGGCTGATGATCATCAGCCACATTGATGTCAGAAAAAGTATGATTTTATGTTATTTGTTGTTGTTTTTTAATAGACTAAATAGAAGAAAATTAATAGAACTGTTTGTCATAGGCTGGGGCAAAAATAAGAGAAAGTAGTTAAATAGAGTTCTGTTTATTAAAGTGTAATTTAAATTAAATTTACAGAATGATAGAAATCAAATAATTTACTGTTCCACTAAGCGTATACTTATTTAAATATTCCTCATACGCCATGGGTGACTTATAGGTGTTTTGAGATTATTATAAAATTAAAATTGTTTTGGAAGAATTGTAGTTATGATAAACATTTCTCTTGTTTTAAAATGCTTGAGATACGACATAAATTTTTAACTTTTCTGTAAACATAAATTTAACTCAATAGTTATGATTTTAAATATTTATTTTTCTTCATATTATTTCAATGATTATTTATATACAATTTGAAGAGTTATAATTGAAAATAACACTCCACTAAAATACTTAAATCATAAAATGATTGTTTATTACGAAACTTTAGTTTGTATTTATATATTCATTCTCTTTTATATATTGTTTTTATTTTTGTATTTATATGTAAGTATTTATGTACTTAAAATTTACTCTGATTGCTGAAGTTATTTGTTTTATATTTAGTTATACATAATTTATAAATATTTTTTTATGTGAAATTAGATTACATTTAAATTTTTGTTTATTTATTTTAAAATATGTACCAGTATTTTAACAGATTTTTATTTAATTTTTCACTGCATGGCAGAAAAGTTTTAAACTTATAATACAGTTTATAAATAGTTAATTTTTGTTATAAATTAAGCAAATTAAAATATTTTATATAAAGCATTTCAGTCAAAATATTAATAAGTTTTAGGATTCTAAAAAGGGAAACTTCAAAATAAATTTAGAAAACTTTTGTACGCGAGAGATTTAAATAATAAAATTAAAAGGGCTTATGTTATGTATCTATTCATTATTTTAAATAATATTCTTAAAAACATATTTCATTTTGTTTGCATTTCATTTATAGGGATTATATATGAACAACATTTTATTATTCTTATAAATATATTTTTTTAATTTCAATTATGTAACATGTAACTAGCAACATCTGTTTTTTGTATCTATTAAATGTTATTTATAACCTCCAACCTGAGCTACAAATTTCAAAGTCCTTAATGAGTAGAACTGAACTAAAACTGAACTAGAACTGAACTAGAACTGAACTAGAACTGAACTAGAACTGAACTAGAACTGAACTAGAACTGAACTAGAACTGAACTAGAACTGAACTAGAACTGAACTAGAACTGAACTAGAACTGAACTAGAACTGAACTAGAACTGAACTAGAACTGAACTAGAACTGAACTAGAACTGAACTAGAACTGAACTAGAACTGAACTAGAACTGAACTAGAACTAGAACTAGAACTGAACTAGAACTGAACTAGAACTGAACTAGAACTGAACTAGAACTGAACTAGAACTGAACTAGAACTGAACTGAACTAGAACTAGAACTGAACTAGAACTGAACTAGAACTGAACTAGAACTGAACTAGAACTGAACTAGAACTGAACTAGAACTGAACTAGAGCTGAACTAGAACTGAACTAGAACTGAACTAGAACTGAACTAGAACTGAACTAGAACTGAACTAGAACTGAACTAGAACTGAACTAGAACTGAACTAGAACTGAACTAGAACTGAACTAGAACTGAACTAGAACTGAACTAGAACTGAACTAGAACTGAACTAGAACTGAACTAGAACTGAACTAGAACTGAACTAGAACTGAACTAGAACTGAACTAGAACTGAACTAGAACTGAACTAGAACTGAACTAGAACTGAACTAGAACTGAACTAGAACTGAACTAGAACTGAACTAGAACTGAACTAGAACTGAACTAGAACTGAACTAGAACTGAACTAGAACTGAACTAGAACTGAACTAGAACTGAACTAGAACTGAACTAGAACTGAACTAGAACTGAACTAGAACTGAACTAGAACTGAACTAGAACTGAACTAGAACTGAACTAGAACTGAACTAGAACTGAACTAGAACTGAACTAGAACTAGAACTGAACTAGAACTGAACTAGAACTGAACTAGAACTGAACTAGAACTGAACTAGAACTGAACTAGAACTGAACTAGAACTGAACTAGAACTGAACTAGAACTGAACTAGAACTGAACTAGAACTTAACTAGAACTGAACTAGAACTGAACTAGAACTGAACTAGAACTGAACTAGAACTGAACTAGAACTGAACTAGAACTGAACTAGAACTGAACTAGAACTGAACTAGAACTGAACTAGAACTGAACTGGAACTGAACTAGAACTGAACTAGAACTGAACTAGAACTGAACTAGAACTGAACTAGAACTGAACTAGAACTGAACTAGAACTGAACTAGAACTAAACTAGAACTGAACTAGAACTGAACTAGAACTAAACTAGAACTGAACTAGAACTGAACTAGAACTAAACTAGAACTAAACTAGAACTGAACTAGATGACGAATTTTTAACATTTTCAATAGAAAGAAAATATTACCTAATTTTTCTATAAGAAGAATTTTCTTTTGAAAAAAAAAAAAATCGCTACACAAATATTTTCCAAGTTTCTATAAAAAGAGACATTTTTAAATATTTTCTATGGAAAAAAAGTGTTTATGAAAAAAAATATGCGAATATTTTCTACACAAAGAGAAATTTTCGGAAAATTTCCTATAAGAAAAATCTTCCGAAATTTTTTTATAGAAAAGTGAAATCTTCCGAAAATTGTGTGTAGAAAAAGTTAGTTCCGAAAATTCTTTATAGAAAAAGAAAATCCAAAATATTTTATACGCAAGAGAAATTTTCCGAAAGATTTATATTTTGGAAAATTTTTTTAGATTTCTTTGTTAAACTTGAATTTATTTTACTCTTCAGAGGGAGGCTATAATATATGCGGCTCGGCCGCATGTTTTTCTTATTTTCACTTGAATTCATTTTTTATCAATATTTCATTTTATTTATCTTTTCATTTTTGTAATTTGCAACTTTACGTTCTACGTAAAGTTTATTTTACTATATAACTTTTATTTTTCTCATTCTTTTTGGATTTTTATTTATTTTTCTCACTGCGGTGCAAAACTGTACATTGTCGATGTTGTTGACATAGTTGATGGTATTGTCGTTGTTGTTGTTGCTGTTATTGCTGGTGCTTTTGCAATTGTTGCTGTTGTTGTAGTTGTTGTGTATTATAATAAATTCCAACAAAATGTTGTGATTAAACTGTACAATACTGACAATAAAACTATTAAATACGGCCAATGACGTTGAAAAGACCAAAATGAAAAGCAACAACAATGGCAACACCATAAAGGCCAGTCAGCCAAAGCTATAGACAATTTTTGCACTGGCTGATGATATAAACGGCTGGAGGCTGGTGCAGACGATGTGATGTCATTATTGTCCATGGCACCACTACGAACTTCCGTTTTACTATAATATGTGGGTTTACGCGTAACAACGTTGCTGTTACTTATAACACCAGGTAGGCCATTAATACCACCACCAACACCATTTGCACCAAACTCGAACGAGTTGCCCATGGTGTTGTAGTGATGTCGTCCACCATTAACAGCATCCAGACTGTGAGGTTTATGAGTGCCATGTTTATGATGGTGGCTGTTGGAATTTGCAGCATTATTGGCAGAGCTTCCCGCGCCACCACCTCCTCCTCCTCCTGAGGTGTAGTAAACATTTGGTGTTAAGGGTGGCAATGGTAAATCGCTGTCATCAAAATCCTCCGCCGAGCCATAAAGATCTTCATCATCGGGTTGATATGTGACGCGTAATTGTTTTTGTTTTAAAATGTCATTGGTGTCGGCATCTGCGTTACTGCCATGTTTATTAACTGGCGTTTTACGACTTGGTCCAGGGATTTCTATTAATAATACAAAAACAACAAAAACATTTATGCCACATTCAACAAAATAACGTTATTCTTTTTGCAATGTCATTGTGTCTCTCTAACAAGATTGATTGAATTGAACTGATTTAATTGTTTGTAGATTTGGTAAAAGAGTTTTAATTTCTTCTTTTTTTATTTTATTCTACTTACCATAAAGTCTTATACTACTGTCTACTTCTCCTAGTGAATTTTTGGCAATACAACGATATGAGCCTACATCTTCTTTTTGGAATTTCCGTACAATCAGTGTCATTTTGGTCTCATACATTGATTTGGAGTTTTCCTGTACGTGATATTTAGATGATGAGACAATCATTTCACCTGTTGATTAAATAGAAATTAAAAAGGGGGGAAATATTATTATGGACATAAGTTAATATTTTGAATAGTTTAGCAAAAGAATTAATATCTATATCTTAAATACTCTACAAATTATTTCTTAAATAGAAGCAAAAAAAATAGATAATTTCTCAGAAATTTCTTTTTGTAAAAGATTTTTGAAAAAAATTACGCAAAAAATTTTTGGTAGAAATATTTTTTTATATTTTAATAGAAAAGTTTCGGAAAATTTATATTTTAATAGAAAAGTTTCGGAAAATTTATATTTTAATAGAAAATTTTCGGGAAATTTCTCTTTTCAATAGAAAATTTTCGGGATTTTTTTCTTTTCAATAGAAAATTTTCGGGAATTTTCTCTTTTCAATAGAAAATTTTCGTGAAATTTGTCTTTTCTATAGAACATTTTCGTGAAAATTTTCTTTTCTATAGAAAATTTTCGGAAAATTTATCTTTTCTATTGAAAATTTTCGGGAAATTTTTACTTTCTATTGATAATTTTCGGGAAATTTTTACTTTCCATTGAAAATTTTTGGGAAATTTCTCTTTTCTATAGGAAATTTTCGGGAAATTTTTACTTTCTATAGAAAATTTTCGGGAAATTTCTCTTTTCTATAGGAAAATTTCGGGAAATTTCTCTTTTCTATAGAAAATTTTCGGGAAATTTCTCTTTTCTATAGAAAATTTTAGGGAAATTTCTCTTTTTTTATAGAAAATTTTCGGGAAATTTTACTTTTCTATAGAAAATGTTCGAGAAATTTCACCTTTCTATAGAAAATTTTCGGGAAATTTCACTTTTGCATGGAAATTTTCGGGAAATTTCTCTTTTCAATAGAAAATTTTTTGGGAATTTTCTCTTTTCAATAAAAAATGTTCGGGAAATTTCTCTTTTCAATGGAAAATTTTCGGAAAATTTCTCTTTTCAATAGAAAATTTTCGGGAAATTTCTGTTTTCAATAGAAAATTTTCGGGAAAATTCTCTTTTCAATAGAAAATTTTCGGAAAATTTCTGTTTTCAATAGAAAATTTTCGGGAAATTTCTCTTTTCAATAGAAAATTTTCGAGAAATTTCTCTTTTCTGTAGAAAATTTTCGGGAAATATCTCCTTTCTATTGAAACTTTTAGGGAAATTTATTTTTTCTATAGAAAATTTTAGGGAAATATCTCTTTTCTGTAGAAACTTTTAGGGAAATTTCACAATTTTGAAAATTTCTCTTTTCTGTAGAAAATTTTCCGGAGATTTCTGTTTTCCATAGAACATTTTCAGAAATTTTCTCATTTCTATAGAACATTTTCGGATAATTTATCTCAGATTTCTAAGGTATTAAAATTTTGCATTTTTCTAGCCTTATTTTTTAAGCATTTTAGCCTTTTCTGGCCCTTTTTAATGTCTGATTTAGCCTTTTATTTCTGAAGCTCCTGACAACACTGGTTGTGTAGTCTATAGTAATGTTTAAGTTGAGTTTAGTTTTGCATTTAAAAATTATTTTCGCAAAATTTTATTTATAAAGATATATTGTATTACTGTTTTGTTTTTTAATTATGTTTTAAACAAATATCATCAATATAGACACATCACTGCTATAATAAATATAAATTGATTATGCTACTTTTGCTACTTTCCCAAATGAAAATAAATGTCAATAAACATTAAATTTTGTCTAAGTTTGTCTAAAAACTTATTTCCTTAAAAGCCTGGCAGTGAATACAGCAACTTATGCATGTATATGTTTCTTATATTCTTACTTCTTTTGGGGGTTTTCCCTCTATTCTTGTCAACATTTCATTTACAGTCGTGCAAATATAATTTTATTATTTTGTGTTTTCTGTAGTTTTACTACATATACATACATATGTACATACATACCTATTTACTCATGTATTTAACATTATTGTCTGTTATTTTCCCTCTATTTTTATTGTTTTGTTTCTTATAGTTTTTCATTAGGATGCTGTGTAATTTTCTTTTAAACATTTTGTTTTTTTCCTCATTCATTACAATTTAAGTCTGGTTCATTTGTTTTGAATGTACGGATACGTTACATACATACATATGTATATAACAAACACTCTTACATATACATATATGTACATAAATCCATATAAATATGCCATTTAATTGGTACTGGTACTAGGGACAAACAACAAATTTGTATGGTACTTTTTGGGGAAATTCCGTTTTGATTATAGGAAGTATTTTAAAGTTAATTTAAAGTGTAAAAATATTTAATTTAATATTTATTTATAATTGGATCTTACATGGACGGACAGAGAGACAGAAAGACAAACAGACAGACAGACAGACAGACAGACAGACAGACAGACAGATAGACAGACGGACGGACTCAGAAAATGATTCTAAGCCGATTGGTATACTTTAAGGTGGAGGACCAATATTCTTGTGCGTTACAAACATCAGCACAAACCCAATATACCCTCCCCATTAAAGTGGTGTATGGTATAAAAATTCTTCGAAATAATCTTTTGACCAATAATCGAATATCAAAAATGTCGTTGGTACTTTTTCTAGAATTTTCTTTACCATCACCGTTTTGTACCTTGTTTTGTTGAAAGAAAATGAACAAGTGTATAGTATATGAATAGACAATTCATAAAATTTTCTACCAAATCATTAAGTGGTTTTGTTATACTTATACCAACTACTTGTACTTCTCCAACCACAACAACATTTTTATGAGAGTATCGTAACAATAATAGAAACAACAATAATAATAGTAGTTACAAAATAACAAAGACAAAAACAAAAACAACAAAAACAACAAAAACAATAAAATAGCAACACTAATAATATTCGCATAATACAAGTATTTATATAACAGTGATGGCCAATGCACATATCATTTCAACATTTGTGTGAAGTAGAAGAAAAAAAAAAAGCATATTGAAGAAATTTTATATGTGTTTTAGTGCAGCTCATGCAACATTTACTATTACGAACTTGTTCATAGAATTTGAAAAATTCCCTTGACTTCTTTTTTATGTCTATGAATATAAGGTTTGTATTCATTAATATTAACGAACGTGAGCACTCTTCATATGTTTTTAACAATTACTTAGAGTATAAGTGAGAGTATATTTTTGTCTGTGAGTGTATGTGTTAAAACAATGTAGATTATTAACTACATATACATATGTAATCACAGACTATAGAGATATTCATCGTGATTCATCTAGCAGTGACAGAACCTTAAAACTCTCAAATTATCAATAGAAAGCTTGAAATTTTCTATAAAGTTTATTCACTCTCCAGCAGTGTTGCTAGGAGCTTTAGGAAAAGAGTCCAAAACGGACTTTAAAGAAAGGTCAGAAAAGGCTAAAAGCCTAACTTTAGATACTTTAAAATCTATACTAAAAAAGTGAAAATTATAGCCCAGCATTCCGACCATACGATACCCTAAACCAATGATATTCGAAAGGTCTAGAATGACACTAGATCCAAAATTACCAATTCTCATAGAATTTGTTAAAATATTTATATTTGAATTTAATTCTGTAAAAACTGCAAAGGTATTAAACTTATTCTTGTTCTCTTTGAATTACGTTTCATCTTCAAGATCAAAATAGCAAAAAACTTTAAACAATTCCATTTTTTATGTGTTAAAATGATATTTTAAGTGCTTCTCTAAATTAGGCGTATACGTAATATTTGTAATATCGATATAACATTAACACGTATACGTATCAGTGTCTTAAAAACAGGGCAATTTCACAGTATAAAACTTTCCACTTGAAATCAAGACGACCTTTTTTTTTTGATTCTTTGGGGATGCAAAGGAATGGTTCTGATCCAATTAATGGATCAGCATAGTGTCAGTTTATTATGTCTATCCAGTTCATTGAGAGATGTGAAGCAGTCAAGTATGACACTCGTCCTGATTTTATATGATATTAAATCCTTAAGGGCTGCCTGACCATCCGACATTACAAATATCTTAAATCCTCTGTTCTTTCTTTTTAGACATTCCCTGAATCCAAATGATAATTGACTAGACTTTCGCCTGGAAGATTAGGGGGTAATTTCCCATTTACATGGCCTTTAATATATTTGGGCCACTTTCATTCCAGAGTTGAAATTAATATACTTGAAACCATCTGTAAACTATACTTGACCGGCCTATACCTGCCACCAAGTTAGGTTAACCCACTGTTCGCTTTTGGTATAAGACCTTTAATCTTTTTTTGATGAAATTTTCAGTGGCTGTCTCGTATTTTTGCACATATCTCCATTTTGCTGATCTGCTAGAATTATTGAAGAATTGGATGCCAAATATATCTGGGATCTTCAGAAATTGATTTCAACGGGCATACAGACGGACAGACAGACAGACAGACGGATAGACATAAAGACGGACAGACTGAAAGACTGACAGACAGACGGGCATAGCTTTTAGTAGTTTTCAAGAAGCAATATTTTGAATACAGACGGACAAACAGACGGACAGACAGACGGGCATGGCTTTTAGTAGTTTTCAAGAAGCAACCTTTTAAATACAGACGGACAGACAGACACGCAGACAGATAGACATAAAGACGGACAGACGGGCATGGCTTTTAGTAGTTTTCAAGAAGCAGTCTTTTGATAGCTTAAAATTGTCTATGGAAGGCAATCTTTCGTTATCGTTAAATTGTAATTCTCTTGTTTGCTTTAAATAGTATAGCCACCCAGTTAGGTTAGCCCACTGTTCGCTTTTAGCATAAGACATTTAATATTTTTTGATGAAATTTTCAGAGTTTGTTTTGGATTATTTCTCATATCTCCGTTATTTATGCATGATTTTAAATAAGAAACTTTTCGGAAGCATGTCCTCTAAATTTATTAAATATTTGGATGCCGAATATATCTGGGGTCTTCAGAAAATTGATTTCAACGGACACAGACAGACTGGCAGACGGATAGACAGACAGACTGACAGACTGACAGACTGACAGACTGACAGACTGACTGACTGACTGACTGACTGACAGACAGACAGACAAACAGACATGGCTTTAAGTAGTTTTCAAGAATCAATCTTTTGATAGCTTAAAATTGTCTACAGAAGGCAATCTTTCGTTATCGTTAAATTGTAATTCTCTTGTTCGCTTTAAATAGTATAGCCACCAAGTTAGGTTAGTTCGCTTTTGATATAAGACCATTTATCTTTTGTTGATGAAATTTTCAGAGTTTGTCTCGTATTATTGTTCACATCTCCGTTGTTTATGGACGAATTTTTTTGAATTTAAACAGGAAAATTGATTTCAACAGACAGGCGGACAGATGGACATACAGACAGACGGGCATAGTTATTAGTACTTAAGATTGTCTATAGAAGACTGTATATTAACAATATAAGCAATCTCTCATTAGCTTTAAATAGTCTACAGAAGAGTTATATAGAATGAACTTTAAAGGGCAAATGTCTGTGTACGATCTAGAAGTACATATAGAATTATCACATCATTGTCCTGATTTTCTTTGAAGTTTTAAGACTTTACAACTCTGCCTTACTTTGTATTCATACGTGTTGAAAATTCAGTTTTAAGACTATTTACTAAAGTATGATTGGACTTCTCGTTGTAATTATGATATAACAACAATTTTGTTAATATAATTTTCTTTAATGGACAAGTTGTAAAGCATTATTAGAGAAGAGACATAACATTGTCATAAATCTGTATGAAATTATTGTAATAAAACAAGAATAATATTTATTATTTAATAACAAAGTAATAGAGGACTACAAAATTGAAATTATTTAAATAATAAGTCACAAATTACATAAAGTCGTTAAAAGTCTACAACAATTTTGTGATCTTGAAACTCAACTAATGTTATGAACTTCTTATAGAATAACTTTTAATTTTATATATATTTATGATTATTTGCTGGAAATTTTCTACCTCAAATTAGCCATTTGCCTAAAAAAAAAACTTTGACTAATGACTGTGAGTGTGTTTGGTGAACAACAAAACAAAGAAAGATTTTAAACTATTATAAAAAAATTTTACATATTGCAGCAGCACCTTCTGTTGTAAATGTGTATAAAATTTAAAAATAACTACAAAATAACATGGACTGATGTTGCTACTGCCATAAAACGTTTCATGTTGTTACACTTCAAAACATAAAATATTTTAAAGTATTTCACTTGGTATTCGTGCAAAAGTACAACATGTGTAAATACATGTATATGAGGACTGCAAATTGTTTATGTATTGTGTTCATGAACACTTTTAACACACATAGATACCTAGTTTCGACACACACACACACAAACTTACCAGTGTCCTTAATCCAGTAGTTAATTGATTTTGGTGAAGCCTCTACGTGACATTCAATTTGAACATCAGTACCAAGTGGTGCACCGACTAATTGATTTGGTACTTGAATAACAGGATGAACTATAAAGAGTGAGAGAAGAAAGTACAAAAGGACATTATTTCTATATAGAGACATTAAAAAATGGTTTGCAACAAATTGTAATGTTAAATGATTATAAATCATTCGTTAATGTTTATGAGCTAAATTGTTTATAATGAAAATAAATTGCAAAATTATTATGGTTAAAAGAAAATAAATAAAACTAAAAGATTCATTCCAAATACAAATGTGATGAGTAGCAAACAATTATAGTATTTTTTTCACAATATTATTAAGCGAGAGTTTGATTTTTCAAAGATAACTTGGAGCATGCGAGAGATTGTGTTTTATAGACAATTTTGAGCTAAGAAGAGATTGTCTTTGTAGACAAATTTTAGCTAGCGAGAGGTTATATTTTGTAGACAATTTTGAGCTAACGAGAGATTGTCTTTTATTGATAATATTGAGCTAGCGAAAGATTGTCTTTTATAGATAATTTTGAGCTAGCGAGAGATTGTCTTTTATAGATAATTTTGAGCTAGCGAGAGATTGTCTTTTGTAGACAAATTTTACCTAGCTAGAGGTTATATTTTATAGATAATTTTGAGCTAGCGAGAGATTGTCTTTTATAGATAATTTTTAGCTAGAGTGAGATTGTCTTTTATAGATAATTTTGAGCTAGCGAGAGATTGTCTTTTATAAATAATTTTAAACTAGCGAGAGATTGTCTTTTCTAGATAATTTTGAGCTAGCGAGAGATTGTCTTTTGTAGACAAATTTTACCTAGCTAGAGGTTATATTTTATAGATAATTTTGAGCTAGCGAGAGATTGTCTTTTATAGATAATTTTTAGCTAGAGAGATATTGTCTTTTATAGATAATTTTGAGCTAGCGAGAGATTGTCTTTTATAAATAATTTTAAACTAGCGAGAGATTGTCTTTTATAGATAATTTTGAGCTAGCGAGAGATTGTCTTTTATAAATAATTTTAAACTAGCGAGAGATTGTCTTTTCTAGATAATTTTGAGCTTGCGAGTGATTTTCTTTTATAGATAATTTTGACCTAGTGAGAGATTGCATTTTATAGATAATTTTGAGCTAGTGACAGATTGTCTTTTATAGATAATATTGAGCAAGCGAGAGATTGTCTTTTATAGATAATTTTGAGCCAGCGAGAGATTGTCATTTATAGATAACTTTGAGCTAGCGGGAGATTGTCTTTTATAGATAACTTTGAGCTAGCGGAAGATTGTCTTTTATAGATAATTTTGACTAGCGAGAGATTGTCTTTTCTAGATAATTTTGAGTTAGTGAGAGATTGTCTTTTATAAATAATTTTCAGCTAGAGAGTGATTGTATTTTATAGATAATTTTGAACTAGCGAGATATTGTCTTTTATAGATAATTTTGAGCTAGAGAGAGATTGTCTTTTATAGAAATTCTTGAGTTAGCGAGAGATTGCCTTTTATCGACAATTTTAAACTAGCGAGAGATTGTCTCTTGTAGATTTTGAGCTAGCGAGAGATTGTCTTTTGTAGACATATTTAACTCAGCGAGAGGTTATCTTTTGTAGCCAATTTTGAGCTAGAGAGAGATTGTCTTTTATAGATAATTTTGAGCTAGCGTGAGATGGGACTTTATAGACAATTTGAAGCCAATCAAGTTTCTTTTTTAGGTGCAATTGATTGAGCGAGATATAAAGAATTGATGACAGCCTTGATCTAGAAAATCAGGATTCTAAAGTGTTGATTACTATCTAATCCTTAAAAATAAAAAGTAGATATTACTATTCTTGAGTTTATTGTAAACATTTACTTTTAGTTTCAAACTAAATTAAAGATTTTAAAGATCTTAAAGAATTTAAAATGTTTCTTAAAACAATTAAATTTCTACCTTTTACTAAAAATATTTTGTAAAGTGTCATAGTATTTTTGAGTTTTTGTTGGCTTTAAATTAAATTTTATTTTTTACAAATTAAATTTTCTATAAAAGAATAAAATGTAAAAAAAATAATAATACAAGATGACAAGACTATTGAAAATGAATTTCAACAACTTTTATAGATTAATTTTTAACAAATTTACACACACTTACATATATGCAGATAAACCACAAACTAAATGGAAGCCTACAAGCAGACACACATACATACATACATATGTATGAGTATGTTGCCTTGTGTATGCAACATAAAGTTGCAAAAAGTTTTGTTTTCTACTCGAACTACAAGTAAATCATTTATTGTCACTTTATACATGAATGTATGTAGAAATTTCTTTAAATTGCTCTAAAAATCAGAAATTAATACATAGAAATAGTTTTTTCTTTCTTAGAATAGTACACGACCCATGCATAAGAGGCAAACTACCTGAAAACCCAACAAAAGATTTGGAAAGAGTGAGAATTGAAAGGAAATATTCCATAATAAAGAGAAGGTTTATGGAAAATTTTCTATAAAAAAAGAAAATTTATGGAAAATTACCTATAACAAGAAAATTTATATAAAATTCTCTATAAAAAGAAAAATTTATGAAAAAATTTCTACAAAAAGAAAAATTTATGGAAAATTCTCTATAAAAAGAAAATTTATGCAAAAAATTTTCTATAAAAGGGAAATTTATTGAAAATTTTCTATAAAAGGGAAATTTATTGAAAATTTTCTATAAAAGGAAAATTTATTGAAAATTTTCTATAAAAGGAAAATTTATGGAAAATTTTCTATAAAAAAAATTTATGGAAAATTTTCTATAAAAAAAATGTATGGAAAACTTTCCATAAAAAGAAAATTTATGGAAAACTTTCTATAAAAAGAAAATTTATGGAAAATTTTCTATAAAAAGAAAATTTATGGAAAATTTTCTATAAAAAGAAAATTTATGGAAAATTTTCTATAAAAAGAAAATTTATGGAAAATTTTCTATAAAAAGAAAATTTATGGAAAATTTTCTATAAAAAGAAAATTTATGGAAAATTTTCTATAAAAAGAAAATTTATGGAAAATTTTCTATAAAAAGAAAATTTATGGAAAATTTTCTATAAAAAGAAAATTTATGGAAAATTTTCTATAAAAAGAAAATTTATGGAAAATTTTCTATAAAAAGAAAATTTATGGAAAATTTTCTATAAAAAGAAAATTTATATAAAATTTACTATAAAAAGAAAATTTATAGAAAATTTTCTATAAAAAGAAAAATTTATGGAAAATTTTCTATTAAAAAAGAAAAAAAAACATTATTGAAAATTTTCTATAAAAAGAAAAATGTATGGAAAATTTTCTATAAAAAGAAAAATTTATGGAAAATTTTCTATTAAAAAGAAATAAAAAATTTATTGAAAATTTTCTATAAAAAGAAAAATGTATGGAAAATTTTCTATAAAAAGAAAAATGTATGGAAAATTTTCTATAAAAAGAAAATGTGTGGAAAATTTTCTATAAAAAGAAAAATGTATGGAAAATTTTCTATAAAAAGAAAAATGTATGGAGAATTTTCTATAAAAGAAAAATGTATGGAAAATTTTCTATAAAAAGAAAAATGTATGGAAAATTTTCTATAAAAAGAAAAATGTATGGAAAATTTTCTATAAAAAAAATGTATGGAAAATTTTCTATAAAAAAAAAAATTATGGAAAATTTTCTATAAAAAAAAAATTATGGAAAATTTTCTATAAAAAGAAAATTTATGAAAATTTTCTATAAAAAGAAAATTTATGAAAATTTTCTATAAAAAGAAAATTTATGGAAAATTTTCTAGAAATAGGAAATTTATGGAAAATTTACTATAAAAAGAAAATTTATGGAAAATTTACTATAAAAAGAAAATTTATGGAAAATTTTCTTGAAAAAGAAAATTAATGGAAAATTTTCTTGAAAAAGAAAATTTATGGAAAATTTTCTTGAAAAAGAAAATTTATGGAAAATTTTCTAGAAAAAGAAAATTTATGGAAAATTTATTATAAAAAGAAAATTTATGGAAAATTTTCTATAAAAAGAAAATTTATGGAAAATTTTCTATAAAAAGAAAATTTATGGAAAATTTTCTATAAAAAGAAAATTTATGGAAAATTTTCTATAAAAAGAAAATTTATGGAAAATTTTCTATAAAAAGAAAATTTATGGAAAATTTTCTATAAAAAGAAAATTTATGGAAAATTTTCTATAAAAAGAAAATTTATGGAAAATTTTCTATAAAAAGAAAATTTATGGAAAATTTTCTATAAAAAGAAAATTTATGGAAAATTTTCTATGAAAAGAAAATTTATGGAAAATTTTCTATAAAAAGAAAATTTATTTAAAATCTTCCAAAGAAATCTTTAAAAACAATTTTAATTTTACTGGGTTGCCTTTGTATTCAGATCCACATGTATAATCCAGGCATGTAAATTCATTTGATGTGTTATAAGAGTTTTATATTTTATAGAGTATTTTTGGTTTTGACTACTCTTTGTCTGCTCTACTCCTATCTCCTCTTCATTACAATACACACACACAATACACTCACATAAACTTTCAAACATACACACATATTCAAATTCATAGAAAATTTGTGGTTTTAGTTGTCAATAGATTGGTATTAGTTGTTTATCAAGTAACAAAAAGTAAAGGTTCTTTCATTCAACTCTCATCTAAACAGAGACAAAGAGTTCGAGTTATTTTTTGGTTAGAAAAATCTTTTATTCAGAAAATTTTCGAAAAATCTTGTTGTATTGTTTAGAGACAAAAACTATGTATTCTACATATGTGTAAAATACACATATACAAACACATAGGTTTGTTCTATATGTATAGATTATATAGTACTCATATGTTGCAATATTGTTGCAACAATATGTATTGAGAATGTAGAAAATTTTAAAGTGATGTGATTTTAATTGATTTCTATGCTTGAGTGCATTTGTCTTGTTCATATGTACATATATAAAAATATTGCATATTCTTATACATACATATATCTTCATACTAATATTTAACAGGTAAATCATATATTAAATAAAATTCCAAAAATCAAATTAAAAGGGCACTCGAAAATTACTCTTTATAAAA